AGTCTGAATTGACTCAATGGCAGCAGGTTCAGTTTGGTCTGCTAGATGTTTTGCTCAATCCAGCACAAAGCATTTCTATATACAGTCTAACAAATTAAAGTATCAACAACCTTAGTAAAAGTCACAGTTTCTAACTACGTGAGACCCCAAGATTTTAAAGCCTTCTAATTCCTCTTAAAATTAAATGTTTTAAATGCTTAGCTTTCATCATCAGCTTCTCTACTTAACCCAATGGCTTAGTTAAGTGGTTTAGTTTATAAATAAGCTCTATAAAATAGGAAGTCAGTCCTAGATCAAAACAAAAACAAAAACAAATCCACTGTTGTTGAGTCGATTCCAACTCACAGTAATCCCACAGGATAAGAGTGGAAACTGCCCTATAAGGTTTCCAAGGAGCAGCTGGTAGCCTTGAACTGCCAACCTTTTGGTTAGCAGCCGTAATTTCTAACCACTGTGCCACCAGCGTTCCACAGTCCTATGTAACGGTGATGAATACCTAGCAGGAGAAATACAACATTGTGCCCTGACACTGAAATATTCATTAATTATATGCAAGGAAAAACCCCAAGGTAAACACTGACCTTAAGTAATTGATTAAAATTATTCAAAATACACTCGAACTGTGATTAAATATTAAAACATGTTCAGCCTATCTAGGCCTTATTTTCTAACTTGCAAAAAAAGCTGGTTCTGTGGTATTACTGCCCCATATGGTTTCCAAGGAGTGGCTGGTGGATTCGAACTGCTGACCTTTTGGTGAGCAACTGTAGGTCTTAACCACTGTGCCATCAGGGCTCCTTATGTACTATACCAAAAAAACCCAAACCCGTTGCTGTCAAGTCAATTCCGACTCATAGTAACCCTATGAGCAGAATTGCCCCATAGGGTTTCCAAGGCTTTAAATCGTTACGGAAGCAGACTGCCACATCTTTCTCCCGTGGAGCAGCTGGAGGGTTCAAACCTCCAAACTTTCGGAAAAGGAACCTATAAAATCCAAACAAGTTTCCACAAACATGCTGGCTCCCACTAAACAGTTTTTTGTTTCTGTTTTTTATTTTTACCAAAAAATGCTAAAAAGTAACTAGAGCCTTGAGAATACACCCTCCGTACGACTATTTTTGTAAGGGCTTTCGGTAACTACGCTTCGGGCTTAGGCACGACAGCGGCCTCGCTATTTATTCCAACCTAACGGGCTGTGTCAGTGAAACTACGGTGTGGTTTAAAACTGTCAGGCCCCGGGTCCAATGAGATAAAGTCTGTGAAAGCATTTAGCGTTTACCTGCCACAGACAACACCCAATGCGTGCGCGCGTTTTAGTTTAACAATTAACCTGCTTTGATTTCTTCACTTGTTACAGTCAATCTGGTGTTATTTCAGTTTTGAAGATGGGACTTTATTCAGAATTTGAACTTGGGACATGCATAGTTGACCACAAACTGTTTAGCTTCTCTTTGGTAAGAAATTCAAACCACAAGCACAAGTAAGGGGGATAGTTTACCACAAAACATGTCTGAGGAAACACGCCATCCTACGTATTTCCATCAAATATTTACAACTACCTTTATGCACACAATACTCTGTAACATGCTAGTAGCTAATTCTTTAAGGAAACGGACATTAAAATAACCTCAAACTGTGCAACCTTGTAAGCTGTCACGTGTACAGGGGAATTAATGACTTTAAATGTTGACTTAATGGTACATTAACTCTCATTAGTCAAGCCTGTCAGACCTTCTCCCCTGACTGGCTGACCTAATCATCAAGCAAAGGCATATATTACCAAGTGTTCTGGGTTTGTAAAAGCAGGTGGGCAATTTGTTACGTAGTAAGGTCAAATGCAGAAGATGCAAAATACGCTCCATAAATTCAGCATGACCACACCATGTAGTTAGAGTATCTTTAGCTAAATCCCTAATTTCAGATGGTATCCTGAATTCAGCAAACTCATCAATACCAAAAACCCCCTCCCTCATTCCATTCCTATTAGTGAAAAACCACAGACTTTTGTTTGAACATGATTGGTGTGTAATCATTTTGAGATATCAAAATTAGTACAAGCGTCTTTTGATAACCACTACGAACTAAGATTTCATTTAAACATATAGCTTCTGCTAAATTCAAATTACTAAATCATATAAAATCCAGCAAGGAGCCCTGGTGGCGCAGTAGTTAAGCATGCTCGGCTGCTAACAGAAATGTCAGTGCTTCGAACCCACCACTCTTTCTGCGAGAGAAAGATGTGGCAGTCCGCTTCGGTAAAAGATTACAGCCTTGGAAACCTATGGGGCAGTTCTACTCTGTCCTATAGTGTCACTACGAGTCAACATCCACTCGATGGCAACGGGTTCGGCTGCGTTTATGAAATCCAGCCCAGTGCCTGTTAGCACATGCTAACAGGTTTTGGCAGCAACTTGGAGCCCTTTGCTCACCTGTCTGAGTCAGGGATCCATGCAGCTTCAGTGATCTCAACTTGGGGGTTTTCGCCAGATGCAACCAGACCAGCTTTTCAGTCCATTCTTCTATTTCATTCATTCTTCTGAATTTTAACAACCTTTAATATTCAAGGAAACCCTGGTGGCGTATTGGTTAAGCGCTACTACAGTCTGAATCCACCAGGCGCTCCTTGGAAACTCTATGGGGCAGTTATACCCTGTCCTATCGGGTCGCTATGAGTCGGAATCGACTCGACAACAACGGTTTTTGTTTTTTTTTGAAATATTCAAAGCTCCCTATTTTGGGCTTCATTCAATTCTGAGTGTTTATGAAATAGTTTTAGAGTAATTATGGGGCCTCGGGGGTTCTACAACTTAAATTTATACGGGTGTTGAATTAACTACTTAGAGCAGAATTCTTTTCAATCTCTTCCTATTTAATATCGCAGCAATTTAGCTAGAGAGCACGTGAATACAGGATACCGACATGACAAAACCAGCACTGAGCGACAGTTCTAAATAAAAACTAAAAGGTTTCACACGCGCAGGTAAGTCCCTTTTGCCCTACATATTTTCTCTGATCTTCGCTCAGAGCAGTATTAAAACAGTAAAAGATGCTTTCTACACTCTTTCTTTTCACTTGGAAAATACGCAGCTATCTTTCTATCCAGTAAAGAGAGACTCAGAATGAAAGTACTGGATCTTATTTAGTCGCAAACGCCCATTAGTAGTGTAACTGGCCAACCTACTTGCAAAGAGTCAAGTACTTAAAACAAAAACCCCAAAAACCTCCCGGACGTGAAACGCTGGCACTGCCCACGAATGCCTGCGGCCCCGAAGGCCCAGTCCGCTAC